ATAATTAAAAATTACAATATGATAATTATAATATGGACAATGGCTTTCCATGTTATCTTGAAAGTACTATTATTGATACGTTTTTCAAATAGATTCTTCAGTAGGTTTATTTCATTAAGAAATAAAAAGGGATGATTAAATATATGTGACTCGATAAAGTAAAATTTTACATCATAAATATTTTACATTGTAAAAATTAAATATATGTGACTCGATAAAATTTTTATATTAATAATAAAATATGTTAATAATAATAAATTAATTTTATTTATTAAAATAAAACTCACGTAGGAAAGAAAATATTTTAATGATATTTACCGGAAAGATATGCTCCCAGCATATACTTTTCATATCGCGACGCTTCTGGGGTACAGCGTCACGTGAGCGATCGATGGCTCGGCCGCCGAGTTTCGAGTGATAGTGGGGGTCGCCTCAGGAATCTGCCCGAAATGAGCAACTAATTCCAAGCACCGTTTTAATCTATCAGGAACTCTAGTACTCTTCGAGTACTGTAAGATTTTATAAAAAAAAATCAACTTTCTCGAATCTTGCGGTGCCACGCTAAGTTAGCACCGCATATTTTTATTTTTTTTAATTTTTGGCCTAAATCAACAGTACTATTAATAAAACCTATCAAGAACTGTAGAACTATTCGTACTGCAAGCAGTACGAATTATTAAAATTTCCGATTTTTGAAGTTGAGGTGCCAGCTTCACAGATACTTTCGTAAGTCCGTCCCTTTCAGTAGATTATTCAAGCAGGCCGCGCTGTACGAGAGTTCTCCCGGACAGTCGTTAAGCGACTATTGTTTTCAAAAGTTGCGTACGCTAGATATTAATATACCGGATAAATATCTTGTTGATGCTGTGATTGGCGAGATAACGAACGCGGGTATCGCGAGGGCAGTTGCGATCGGCACAGTTAGAGAACGCGAATGCCTATATGCGCACATGACAACTCTTGGTAATTTACCGTCGAAAAACGGGCGAAATAAAAATATGCCCATGTCAAGTTAGGGGTGTGATCGAAAAAATCGATAATCTGAGCATGCGTTGTAGACTGCGAGGACTGAGAATTCTACATCGGGCCGGATAAGTGACAATAATAGCAAACAAGAGCAGGTAAAATGTTTTAATTGCGGAAATACAGGGCATTTTGCTAGGAAATGTCGAGAACCACGCGCTGAGTGCGAATAGTGTAAGCAAAAAGAGCATCTTACGGTCATGTGTCCGCAAAAGAAAATCGTAGATATTGTCAATGGGTGCGTTCCGTTTTTCGCATGATGCACATAATGCATCGTTTATCCTTATTGCTCACCAAATGTTAAACGAGGACAATGGATGCATCATGCGCATCATGCACGATACGGAACGCACCTAATGTTACGGGGTCCTCGACAAATTCGTACGAACGCACGTTAGTAGTTAATAGCTATAAAGTCACAGGGCTGATCGACACCGGAAGCAGTTGAATGTTACGTGCTTCTGTCACTGAGAAGTGTGATAGAGCCGTTACGTCGATATCAAACGTGGGATTGAGGGGTTTTGCTGGACAAACTGTGACTAGTAATTGGTTAATTCCTTGCGATATCCGAATAATGGACGCGCGAGCGCATGTTAATACGATTATTGTACCGAACGAGTGCTTACGTATAATGTTATTGTCGGTCGAGACTTCATCGAGCAGGAACATGTGATGATAATTAAACGCGTCAGTGAAGTACTGATTAAGCAATTGTCCACGATGAGCAGTAAATTCGAAGCTACGATTGATGTAAACTTCTCGAGTGCGATCTCGGAACACACGATGCGTATCGGCGATGTCCCGGAAGACACGCGACAACAGTGCGTTGAGCTGATCAAGGAATATGGCGACTATGTTTCGTCATCGATGAGGGATTTATGTAGAACGGGCGCTGTATCTATGTATACGTTGCACTACTGATGCACTGGTAGTCTACCGTTCGTATAGGTTAGCCGAGTCAGAAAAGCGAGCGCTCAAAGCTATTGTAAATGAGCTGCTAGAACAAAATATCGTAAGGAAATCGAGTTCACCGTACGCCAGTCCCGTAATGCTTGTGAAAAAGAGTAGCGGTGAATATCGTATGTGCGTAGATTTCCGAAAATTGAATGCGGTTACTGTCAAGGATAAATACCCGCTACCGCGGATTGATGATCAATTAGATAAACTTGGCGACAATTGTTATTTTACGGGATTGGATCTCGCGTCGAGATACTACCAGGTACCGATGGCAGCTGACTCTATCGAGAAAACTGTTTTTGTGATCCCGGAAGGCCATTATGAGTTTTTGCGAATACCGTTCGGACTAACGAATGTGCCGACGGTCTTCCAGAGGTTGATGGATCAGGTGTTGGGTGACCTGAAGGACTTAGTAACCTTTCCGTATCTAGACGACATTATTATACCATCTAAAACGATAGAGGAGAGTATGAGTCGGCTGCGCCAAGTCCTGGATGTGTTTCGGGCGCATAAATTAACTCTCAAGTTGGAGAAGTGTTCCTTCTTCCCAAAGACTATAGAATATTTAGGTAGAGAAGTTAGCAAACAAAGGATTCAACCGAGAAAACGTAAGGTAGACTAGTGTTTCACCGAGACTCTTGAAAATCGAGACTCTCGTGAGACGAGACGAGATCATACAAAACGAGACCGAGACCGAGATGAAATTATGATGCCGGGATCGAGATCGAGACAAAGGTTTCGAGAGGCTCGGTCTCAGCCTGAGAATCTCGTCTCGCCTCGTTTTTTTATGTTTTCTGGCCATACTTTTCATATGTCAATATGTACATATTTACATAAGAAAATATTAATAATCTATTATATATAAATAGATAAACAGTGCGTAAGTGGTTATAGTACCTGCACATATAATAGTTTTTTAGGACTCAGATTAAAAAATAATCGACGGTTGGACATTAAAATGAAAATGTTGTGGACATACACGTGTTTACAATTAATTTTAATTACTTAAATGATCTGTTTATTAAGAATGGAAAATCTACCTACAGGGTACAGATATATTCTTATAATATAAGGTATTTCTTATTATTCGGTAAATTCATCAAAAATATGTCTCGTTACATCACAGGTTATTAAGACATAATAACAGACGAGCAGATTCTTTATTAAGTCGATTTCGGTGTTTCCTTATAATAAGGCCCGCCTTAGAAAATAATCGCTCTGATGAAACTGACGTTGCAGGGATACTAAGAAAATCGCGCGCCATTTTTGCTAAGCAGGGGTATGTTGTCTGATTATTTTTCCACCAATCAATAATGTCAACGTCTTTGTTCACTCTACAGCTTCCTAAATATGAATCTATTTCATTCGTCCATACAGTCCTGTCCATAAATAACCTTTTTATGTCTATATCTTCGTCATCGCTCGATAGTACTGGTTGAGCATCTTGCAGTGGTGCGACATAATATTTTTCCTTGAAAATGTCTTTGAACCTTTCTAAAGTATCATCGATGATTTCTTTAGCCCCATTTGGTTAGATTAAAAGTTTCGACTTTGTGCCTTGGGTCCAATATTAATACTACGCAACATATCCAATTTGTTTTGGCATAGTAGCACACCATTTTGTCATATGCTGCTTGATATGCGTCCATCAGTGAATCTTCCAATACATTCCGGGTATCTTGTTGCTCCAACTGCTTGGCAGTTGCTTCTATTTTATCGAGAACCATGTTGTACGTCAAGACCACCATGGGCAGTGTGACATATTTATCTCCTCCTATCAACGTTGATATTACAGCAAAATTCTTCAAGAAAGATGCAAATTTTTGCATAACTTCCCACTCATTTTCTATTAACTGCCATTGACTAAAATCCGT